GGAGGAGGGAGGCTCGGAGCGGGGTGAGGAAGCTCGACCCCCACAGCCAAGGGCCAATCTCCGAAAGGCGCCACACCTTCATCCAAACAGGCCTGAATTAAACCAGAGGGTAAATCCGCATCCAAAACTATATCCGCAGTGCCTACAAGATCCTGAGAGTCTGGCTGTTCCAGCTCTCCAAAAACTTCTTCACATCTGCTCTGCCACTTGACAATGTCCGAGGCGATCCTTTCACACCCAGAGACAAAGTCTAAGTGATCCTGAGGAACGTTCCAGAGGCGCGCTCCTTTATCAGCCATTCCTCATGATCCGTGTTGGCGGCACCAAGGCTCTTGTGAGCCTCAACTTTACAAACCGAGGCCAGTCTGCCGATGCCGCTCCACCAATGAGCCCACATGTGACGACGAGGGTTGGAGGCCGAGAGGGCAATACTAGAATCTGTTGCACAACCTAGCGTGCCTGAACAATCCGTGTGGATTTCCAGCGGGTGGTCTGATGACCATTCGCTGAATTGAGAGAGCATTCGGAACCCCCAGTCCCCCCCGTTCCGAGCCGCCTGTTCTGGAGCCGCGTGGAGCGACACGGCGCCGTACATGGCGCCGATCAGGTTACCAGCTGGGTCGATCTGAACTACCGACCATCCTGCACGACTGAAACCCTGAAGGTGGGAGTGGAAGGCCGAGCCGACCACGAAGACAGCACCTGAAAATTCCCACCCAGGGAAGACACCAACAAACCGGAGCTGGTCCTCATAAGGAACCTCCTTGCAAGGGAAGCAGAGAGAACGGGAGGGAAAGAGACATCTGGCCATGAGCTCACCAGCTTCTTCCCCTATCTGCTTTACATATTGAGCGGCCTGCATGACATGCTGCGGGCACTCCTCACGCTTGACATGAAGACACCTGGGGCAATCAGAAAAGCGGTGCCACAAGGTACTTCTCGTGCCACAGTGGACGCAGGCAAAAGATTGAGCCTTACCCTTGGAGTGCAACCGAGCTTGAGGCCAATGGGATCCACCGACCAGGCTCCGAATGGCAGCAGCACGGTGCTGCGACCAGCTGTCATCAAAGTCCTCATTGATGAGACGAGTGAGGGGAGGCCGATTGAGAGGGGAGACCCAGGGCGCTTGGAGTCTCTCCATCGCCACGATGTCCGCAGCCTGCAGCGCCAGAGGCCTGACCAGGTCAACAAAGAATGCAGGAGAGAAGTCAGCAATCTTGAACTCCCCAAGTATAGGATGCCAGAGCACATCGGCAGCGGGCAGGGTGCAACCAATCCTGGCGAGAGACAGCACAGCGGCCTAAGACGGGTCAACCATTTGAGACCAAGGCCTCTCTTTCTCCAGTAGACAGCGCGCTTCCTGCAGGCAAGCCTGCAGCGGACCAAGTCCTGGCAAGACTGATTGTACACTCAATGCCCAATGCTTGATCACGTCACAGACAAGAACAACCCAGGGGTCTCTGGAGGCCCCTCTGGGGGTGACCCGCAACCTGAGAGAAACCGAGGTGCCTGGTGGAACACGGCCCCCCCCTCTGAGAGTGGCTAGCCTGAGAGCGGCAAGCTTCGTGCCAGCTACACCCGCGACAGCCGCCCCCCACGCCGCCGCCACCGCAGGAGAGCCCCCCACGACCGTGCCGACGCTTGCCACCGCTTTCCCCCGGGCAAAAACTTGCGAAGGTACAGAGGCAGCGTTGGCCAATCGTTTGTTTTGCTCCGCGACATTGCGGGCAGCACCACTGTTGGCATCTGTGCCAAGAACCCTGCCACTGCTGAGCCTCTGCTCAGAGGTGAGGTCCCACCTCTGGTTGAGGTCACCATCTAAGTCCGTCGAGCTAGTCATGTAACCAGTTTTGTTCCAGTTGACTACTAGCTGTCGGCGCTGCAACGCGGCCACCAGATCGGACATGGCTTGTGGGAACTGCTCAAGCACACGTTGACGACCTCCCATGGCCTGTAAAAGGAAATCACCAACTAAATTCTGAAACCTGACAGCTAGATATTTACTTTGGAGAGAGACAATCACAGTGTGAACCAAAAGCTTGGCCAGAGCTAGCGCGCAGCTGCACCCAGCCGCGACAGTGCCATTAGCTCTGAAGGCGCCTGATATGGCGGCCTTCCAGCGAGCGCGCCTGGGCAGACGATAGCCTGCACAGAGACATTTGGGAAGTTGCATCGGGAACCCAGTGGCCAGGCCTTCCGCGGCAAGTCCTCATGAGAAATGCGCTCGTAATATTTGCTTTAATCCAGCAGCCCACCGGCGGTGGCAAAGCCTTCGAGCCTCGCTAATATCTGTGCTATGTTACGGACATGGCCTGCCCTATCGCAGGTTAGGCCAGCTACACCCCAGAAAGCCGAATTGTTGAGAGAGAGCTCCCAGTTCCTGGCCACAGGTTGCCGAAGACGGGACCGGATTCTTCCCCAGACCGAGGCCAGGGCAATCGGCCGAACTCCCGAGGCAGGGCCTGGTTTGCCCAAAAAGAAAGTCAAAAGGGCCCAGAGCTCCAAATCTTCTGGATCCTGCCCCCAACTCATTAAAATATCCAGGAACGCTCGCTTGCAACTATCAGGGAGCCACAACACCTGACGCGGATGCAAG